GGGACACGGCCTTGCTAAACTACAGGAAACCAGCTCCTACTTAAACTTCCAATAATATGGCTTTTAAGGACCAATATTCCTACAGATGTGTTTTATTCCCCTCCTCTGCCTTGACCAGTAGCTCCCCGCACCATCTTTCCACACCGTCAAGGTTCGCTCAGCAGGCGGCGCTCGTGAGCCCCTGAAAAGAAGGTGGATGTGGCGCAAGGAAGATCAAGCCTGCTGCTCAAAACCTGCAATACACATGGAGAGAGATACCCACCCAGAAGACACATGGGAATCCTGCGAGCAAATGGGCAGCTGGGGACCCCCGGCCGGGGGTGAGGGCAGCCAAGGGATGTCAAGCTAGGGACGAGCACAGAAGGAGCAAACGGGCGAGTGCTGGGACGCAGCTGCACACAAGCTTGGCACAGCTTTGTTGAACAAAATGTTTTGAATAATTATAAAAGTAACGGAGTGACTACAGAAATTTCAAGTAGTAATATAACTGCATTCAGGAAAAACTAAATGATCCCTTTATGCCAGTCCACAGAAGGCACCACTCAATCCACATGTACCCACCATCACCAATTACTGATGTGTCTGGAAGAACATCTGCATGGGGCAGTGGTCAAATTCAAGCAGGGAAGCCAAGCCCAGCACCTTGCGAAGGCGCATGAGCAGACCGGTCTGAACACTGTGCATGGGGATCACTGGAGGGAAGGCGGCAGGCACACGGAGCTACTCAGAGAGGTCTTGGGAACAGAAGGCATTATGTGTTTGACAGCAAAAGCCTGACACGAGGGAAGGCTGCATGGCTGCGTGTAAGTGTGCCCGGTCACACCGGGCACGGAGATTCTCACGAAAGGCTCGATGAAACACAGAAGCTCCGGTGACGGTGACTGCGTGGTGACAGAGGAACGTGTACTGGCGGTGACGCAGGGCCATGCCATCACAGCGGCATCACTGACACTCATCTAGAGACAGGAAGGCGGCGGGAGTGTGGAGAAGGATGGAAAGCCAACCTGCGATCCGCGGAGTCTGAGGGGAGATAAGTGATCCGTGTTCTCAACTTCCCATGTTTATAAAAACCACTTTCACCGTTTTCGCTACTTTTTCACCATCCTTTAGGTTCTTACCTGGCTAATGATGTGTCATAATTACTAAATTGGTCTAGTTTGTTTAGAGTAAGTTAGTATCTTGACTAAACAACAAAAAGAAAAATGCCTATGTAACTAAAGCTTTAAATAAGCAAGCTTGTTTTCCGAAGTCTAGCCGTGGCTTATACTTTGTCAAATACCATAAATCTGCGGGCGCATTTAGGCTTTCTTCTCCTGAGGTCACTGTATCAGGGGATGTTTATATCTGTCCCCCGGACAGCTTCAGCTGAGCCCCCTAAGAGTCACCACCACAAAAAGTGTACAGAAAATTTAAAACATTGGTGGAGGAGGGCCTCACATCCTCACATTCACCCTAGTTTATCAAACTTTAGTTACATAGGCATTTTTCTTTTTGTTGTTTAGTCAAGATACTAACTTACTCTAACCAAACTATACCAATTTAGTAATTATGACACGTCATTAGCCATGTAAGAACCTAAAGGATGGTGAAAAAGTAGCCAAAACGATGAAAGTGGTTTTTTTAAACATGGGAAGTTGAGACTATGGATCATTCACCTCAAGTCCTAAAAGTAAGTCAAAGGGAAAGATTTATAAAATGCAATGGTTCTCAATTGTGGGGTGCAACCTTTCAGATTTTCAAAATGGAGAAATGTCCAGTCCCAGCCCAGCATTTCTTTTTGTTTTTTATTTTATTTATATATATATATTTTTTGAGACTGAGTCTTGTTCTGTCACCCAGGCTTGAGTGTAGTGGCGTGATTTTGGCTCACTGCAACCTCAGCCTTCTGGGTTCAAGCAATTCTCCTGTCCCAGCCTTCCAAGTAGCTGGGATTGCAGGAGCCTACCACCACACCGGCTAATTTTTTGTATTTTTGGTAGAAACGGGGTTTCGCCATGCTGGCCAGGCTGGCCTCAAACTTCTGACCTCAGGTGATCCACCTGCCTCAGCCTCCCAAAGTGCTGGGATGACAGGCATGAGCCACCACGCCCGGCCCCGGTCCAGCATTTCTGTAATAGGGGTGCTAGTGTGCATACATAAAAAATTAAGTATTTTAAAAAAGAAGGAAACCCCTAGATGTCTACCTGATGTACAGACAAGTTTAAAAACCCCTTGCTTATGTGTGTATCTTTCCTTCCCAGGAAAGTGGTTCCCACATCTGCACACAGACATGAGAATTGCCTTCAGGACATGAGATCTAGTCCCATGATCCTGGAAGCCTGTGCCTCGTCAGGACACGGTCACAGCGAACACTCACGGAAAAAAGATGAATGACATTACTGGTTGTTTCCTGAGCCATAAAGTGGTAGAATTCTTCTGCTTCTAGAGGCCTAGACAAGAGACTCCTGCTTTGAGGCAATTTTAAAGTAAAAGTCGCTTGCCACCTTTGGTCAGCTCTGCAGACAGCATAGCTCCTCCTCAATTATCAACACACATTTATTCTGTTCTGTCTTCTTTGGGCTACAAATCGGTTCTAGTTATTACTCATAAGGCAATTTTCCAAACATTCTAAACTCATAGGTGTATATTCTGACTTCTTACTTAATTTTAATCAGCAAAATGACGATGCCCTTCCCAGCGCTGGAAATGCCGTACTATGCATGATCAGGTGCACACGCCAGCTCTGCTTCCTCATGGTGGCCACAGTCTGTCCCTATTCTCACCTTTCCACGGCAAGGACTTGAGTCTCTGCTGCAAGATGTATTATCACCAGAGAAAGAGGCTCTCTCACGCCCCTCTACTCTTCTTCCTGTCTCTTCTCCACATGCCTCCCTGTCTGTCTGGCCCACCTGCTGATAAGCAACAGAGGGGTTTTAGGCTCATATTTCCACTGTCTGTGGAATTAGAACTGAGCACCTTTCATATCCATACATTCAGAAATTGAACGAGTATCCTAACACTTTCTAAGATACAAATTTTAGTTTTTTAACCTATGAATTTGCTTTGTCTTTGTTTAGAATCTTAATTTTCTACTCGTTCAATAGTCACGGAACCTATACTCACTCTGCATCTTCTTTTGTTTAAATAGCTTTATGGAGACACTATTCACCCACTTAAAATGTACAATTTAATTGATTTTAGCATATTCACAGAGTTGTGTAACCAACATGATAATCTATTTTAAAACATTTTCATCCCCCTAAGAGAAACCTTCTGCTTGCTAAAGGTCACTCCTCAGCCCTTGACCTTTTACCTGCTGGGGATCACTCCACAACCCCTGACCTTGTACCTGCCGGGGATCACTCCTCCCCTGACCTTCTACCTGCCGGGGATCACTCTTCCCCTGACCTTCTACCTGCCGGGGATCACTCTTCCCCTGACCTTCTGCCTGCCAGGGATCACTCTTCCCCTGACCTTCTGCCTGCCGGGGATCACTCTTCCCCTGACCTTCTACCTGCCGGGGATCACTCTTCCCCTGACCTTCTGCCTGCCGGGGATCACTCTTCTCCTGACCTTCTACCTGCCGGGGATCACTCCTCAGACCCTGGCACGTGCTGCTCTGCTGTCTCCATGGGTCTGTCTGCTCTGGACGTGTCATGGCAATGAAATCACATAGGTCTGCTGGTTGCCTTCTGCACCTGCCTTCTTTCACTGAGCAAAAGGTTTCAAAAGTGCTTCAACGCCGTCACAGACACGGCTCCTTCCTGCCATTTGTGACTGGATGATGCTCCATGTGTGCGAACAGACCCCATTTTATTGATTGATTGATAGCTGATAGACATTTGGGCTGCCGGCACTTCCTGGCTCTAACACTGCTGTGAACATTAACATACGGGTCTTTGTTCTCATGTCTTTCGGGTGTACACCAAGGAGTGGAATTGTGGGGCATATGGTAATTCCATGTTTAATTGTTTCAGGAACACCCAGACTGTTCTCTAGAGTGGCTGCGCACTGTTCCAATCCCACCCGCAGTGCACGAAGGTTCCAATTCCTCTGCGTCCTCTCAGCACCTGCTATGGTCTGTCTTTTTGATTCCTGTTATCCTGGTGGGTGTGAAGTTGCGTCTTGTCTCTCGGCTGAGATTCTATTCCATTATGGGGGGGACGATGGCGCTCTTTTGTAATAAACTCATCAACCAGGACCACCAGACTCCTCTCTTAAAAACAATAGATCTGATTTTTCTCTTTTTATTTTCACTGAAGGTACCCCCACCACCAATTATTTATGTATATGACACAGTTTTACAAAGTATCGGAAGATACTAGTTTGTTTACAGTGCTTCTGTGGTTGGCTTGATTACGGAACTATCTCAAGAAACTTGAAGGGACAAAGTGTATATAAAACTGTATATAAAATATACTAAGACATTAATTAAACAAATTTGATAATGATTTTACTGATCTAAAAATCAAAGAATGATGTAAAGTTAGAAATAACTAATTTACCATGTTTAAGATCTTACCATTTCTGTAGGTTTTGGAAATTTACATTCCGATTTTCTTTTGAAATAAATGCCCTGTATCGAAAAATCTGGCAAAATATGTGTAAATTTAATATGGAAACCTGATGATTCAATTTGGACACGGAATCCAAAAAACTGGATGATGTAGCCATCCCAGTCCCAAACTTCAACAGTTTTATAACATGCAGCTTTGACACAAATTAGTTTATGGAATCAGTAAACCTCGCTGGCATTTCTCATGCTGTTCCCTGTGACCAGCCCTGGGTGTTCTGGGATGTGCCGAGACGCACTGGCCGCATGTCTGCATCTGCAAGGCCCAGGCTACGTCAGAGGCTACATGCTGGAATGAGTTGGGCAGTTTTCAACCTACAGCTAAAACATACATTAAAGCCACGGTAAACTGCTCCTCTATATTCCCCACCCCAGAAAGAATGAATCCTCATGACTTTTGAGTCCAAATGGAATGCACAAGCTCCCACGGTTTTGTGCTCTGACTGACCTCATCGGGGCTGGAAGCCTGGTAGGTGCGGTTCTCATCACTGAAGTCTTGGTCAGCCTCTGCGAACTCAGTCTCCCCAGTAACGCCGGCCCGAGACTCATACACAGGGGTCACGTTGTGACACAGCACGATGGCTTTCACGGCTTCATGGATTCGACTGCTGACACTTTTCCTAACTTTGGGAGCTGAAGATTGGGCTTTTCTTGGTGGAGTTGAACCAGTATTGTTTCCACCAGCTTGAGACTGCATCTTTAGAATATGAAACGTCACGTAATTAAAGATAGAGCAAAGAGATCTCGTTAACATGGAATTATTAACATCTATGATTTTTATAAGTGAAGTAGCTAGAAATAAGTAGCCTCATTTGATTCTGATTATCTCCTAGAAAGCACTGATTAATGAGTTATATTTTTAAGCCTAGTACTATGAAGCGCTTTGATACATCCAGGTTGTCAAATACACCAAAACATTCACTATACTACTTAAAAATCTGATAATTTGTTTTGACTGTATTCATTTCAACAACGGCAATGATTTGCTACGTCATTAACCCCTATTTATTCATGACTTCTAAAAGCAGAGTCAGTTAAAGAACAAAATGAAATAGTATACTTACAACTGCTTTCAGCTTTCTTTAAATAGTGTTGTACATAAAATTGTATAAAGCTAAAAGCAGGACAATATTTTTAAGAATCTTCCCTTAATACCATAAATTAATCCTGCTTTCAGTAGTCTCAGTTTAGACAGTCCAGTTTTGTGGATAATAACCACCAAATACAATCCTAAGTTGCATTCAGAGGAAAAACGACCCCGTGTCTTATCTCGGAATCCTGCTCTCTCAAAGCAAGTCCTCATTTAGGGCTTATGTCTGTGCCTGGCTCTCCTCAGCCTCAGCCGTGTTTAAGAGGTTTCACGGCACCACCGAAGTGATAACTTTTTTTTTTTTGAGACGGAGTCTCGCTCTGTCACCCAGGCTGGAGTGCAGTGGCGTGATCTCGGCTCACTGCAAGCTCCGCCTCCCGGGTTCACGCCATTCTCCCGCCTCAGCCTCCCAAGTAACTGGGACTACAGGCGCCCGCCATCACGCCCGGCTAGTTTTTTGTATTTTTAGTAGAGACGGGGTTTCACCATGTTAGCCAGGATGGTCTCGATCTCCCGCCTCGGCCTCCCAAAGTGCTGGGATTACAGGCTTGAGCCACCGCGCCCGGCCGTGATAACTTTTTATTATTCACCTCCTATGTGGTGGAGGGTGTCAGAGGGCACTCCCCCTGACCCGAACAGGGCGTCAAACGTTTCTTCAGTTAACTTCGGAGTAACTCATGACAATCCTCCTTAGAAACCAAGACTCACGTTTGGACGGAGTGCACAGATCCAATGAACTGTGAATCTCCTGCCCATCAAATTACAGTGGTGCCGAATGAAGGGTTTAACTTTCTGCTCAGCTGGTGCTGCCTTTCAGTGAGGACCCAGCCCATCTGCGCCCGCTCACGCTGCTGCGGGACAGCAAACTCAGCTGGCTCCCTCCTTTCAAACTACGTGATGTTTGCTGATGCCTGTACAATTTAATTTCACACAAATTCCATGGAAGATTATGTCCTCTATCACCAAATGCCTCCAGTGGGGAAATATAATCAGGTTATAAGAGATTTGTGTTGCACGGCAGTGGACCTACTAGACTCCTGTCGTCTTAGTAATAAAACAGAATACCAATAGAGAATCAGACCAATTTCACATAAGAAGTACTGTCTGTTCCGCTAACAGAAGCTTTCAGCAAAAATGATTTTTAAAAGTTCTCTTAGGTGGAAGCACAATATTTACTGTGTTTATATAATGATGCTTCATCTTTTCTGCTTTTAATTTTTCCTAATAACTTATTTGAAGCTATTAAAATTACATTCACAGATAATAATTTTTAAAAAGCAGATCTCATCTGGTACTATTGCAATGTAGAAATAGATTCCTGGGAGAAACTGTACTCCTTCTCCTTTAAAGATTTTTCTTCTATTAATAAATATCCTAGGTTACAAATATTCTGTATCTAAATGAATTACATCCAAAATAATAATGTGTTTGGCTGTGTATACATATGTTTGTTTGCTTATGTGTGTGGATAAACATTCCATATGCTAAATATATATACATATGAGACTTCTTCCATTTGACAGCATGCCAACAGTAAAGCTTATGCCAGACTGGTAGCAAGTATACAAGAAAGAGAAGGTTTTCAAAAACCTGAATACAATGCTGACCACTGCATGCTACTCTGGAGTTGTCAAGAGTAGAAACGCTGCAATGGGAAAGTGTCATTTAGTCTAGTCTCTGCAAAAATCAAGTTTGAAACAAATTACTGTTTGTTTCAAAAAGTCTCCTAGACTCCACAGCTGACATCGCTGAGTGGCCTCTGCAAGTCTGGGCAGTAGTGCCGTGCAACACTGGGAACTGTCACCCCTCAAGGCGAGCTGTGTACACTTTTGAACCTGATAGGCCTTAGCTCGTTATTATGTGTATTACTGTATTCAAAATAAATCAACAAACAAGCAGAAAAAGGGCCTCAGGAGGTGTAAATTCCTGACGCACACTGCAGCCTTGTCTGCTGGTCTCTTAAATTGATTCTCTCAGATCTCCGGGTTTGATGACACTGAATCAGTGACTTCTAATTATGACAGGCACAAAAAAAAGAATGCAAATGACAAGGAAACACTCCTCGGGGCCAGGGCTGTGCTCCACGTGGTAGCTCTGAGGTGCCTACTGCCGGAACGCGGCTGTTAAGATGACTTGGGGCCCTGGACAGACTCTGTACACAACCCACTGCCTATAAAATCTCCGGCAAGTGCTACAGCCTCTAGGCTAAATCCTGCTTTAAAAGCAAATACAGGCTGAGTATCCCTGATCCAAAAATCTAAAATCGGAAATGTTCCAAAACTCAAAGCTTTTTGAACGCCATTGATGCTCAAAGGGATGTTCGGATAAGGGATGTTCAACCAGTAAGGATAATGCAAATATTCCAAATCTGAAAAAAATCCAGAATCCAAAACACTTCTGGTCCTAAGCATTTTAAATAAGGGATACTCAACCTCTAATTCCTGTTCTCAGAACTTCAGAGAGCTTTGGCCCCAGTGAAAGGCAGAGTCCTTATCTATTAGGGGCACATAATAAATATTTACATGTGAAAGAATGTGGTAGTTGAGCTCCATGTTGTAATATAATAATAATGAAGAACACCTACAGATGAAACATCACCACCTGGGCACTGATGACAGGAAGGTGAGTGACAGATATGAGGTTCCCAACACTACGGTGTCTACTTCTGTCCACTGAAAAGGCAAAAAAAGAATTTACCTTTAAAAATATGAGAATGTTTTATTATAGAGAAAAACAGGACTGTTAGAAAACACATTGATGTAGTATCCTACTGAATATTCTTCAAATACAATGTTTACTGAATAATTTTTTACAAATAACTCACTAGTAAAATGTAATATGAATAAACGACTTAAGCACACTATGCCTTCTACGATTTCACTCATGCAGAAAAGCTCATCAAAGACGATTTCCTGATTCGTATATTCGAACGGATGACTGAAGTAGCAGGATGTTAAGACCACCGAGAAGTGTGCTAATTCACAGATGGGAACACACGAGGCTGGGGTGGACTCATGGCACGGGATGTGCGTGGAAGCAGATCCCATACAGGAGGAACCCACTTACCTGTGAGTAGGAGTCCCTGACATGGCTCTGGATCTCATCCATTGTGTCGGCTCCATAGGACACGGTGCCCAGGTGGAGCCGCTTAAATACCATTTCATTCTGGGTGAGGGTTCCTAGGATAAAGCGGACAACAGCAAACACATTAATGCAGGAGGCCTCGGGGAAGGCCCAGCTTTCCTACTGCACACACTGCACACCCATGTGCTGAAGCAGCTGGGATGCCCGACCGTATAATACAAAGTAGCATTAAGATTGTTGCTTGCTACTATTTTCATTTTAACAGGAAGAACAAGATATTTTCTCCCTAGCATGTCAAGGTACTCTTATAACATTTTTGTGGGTTTTTTTTTCTTTTTTTTTTTTTGAGACTGGGTCTCACTGTGTTGTCCAGGCTGGAGTGCAGTGGCATTACCACAGCTCACTGCACCCTCCACCTCCTGGGCTCAACTGATCCTCCTGCCTCAGCCTCCCGAATAGCTGGGACTACAGGTGCACGACACCACACCCAGCTAATGTTTTTGTTTTTTGTAGAGGCAGGGACTCCCTACGTTGCCCAGCCTGGTCTCAAACGATCCTTCTGTCTTGGCCTCCCAAAGTGTTGTGATTACAGACGTGGGCCACTGCGCACCCAGCCTCTAACAACGTTTAATAATGGGAAGGACTCCAGTTACACGAAGAAAGTGCAGTCATTACCTTTCAGCTCATAGCTGTTATTTGGAACAAATGCAACTTTTGCCTGTTCTGAAAGAGGCAGGCATAAAACTAGAAAACTGAGTCACCACCTTTATAATTACAATATAGAACACTGCCTGAAAAAGACATCAACGTGCCCCAAATGAGGGTGTCCATTAATTTTTTTAAAAAATCTACTTCAAAAAATTAGGTCTTTTTAGCTGAACAGAAACGGATATTTCAGATGTGTTTAATCCTTAGCATCTATGTGCATCCCTTGGAATGACAGACAGGAGGTCTGTGAAACAGACGGCTTTTCTTTAGTATTTTCCAAATACTGGGTTATGTGAATGTGCCTCCCCAATGCCTGCTCCTCAGTGGACCAAGGCAGAAGGACCACAGTGCTTACTTAGGAGGACTGCCAGAAAAGTTGGGCCATGTATTAGGTGACAAAGAGATCTCACTTAACCTAAAAATACACATATTATATATGCATGTTTTATTTATTTGGCTTTATAGAAGCAAAGTAGCACAGGGAAGCTCAAATACCCTCTGGATATGTATGTAGCGAGCTGCCATGCATGGTGCTTCCACCTTGCCCCAGAGGTGGGCAGGGTGGTGTCTGCACTTAGATCACAATGTGCTGTGATGCTGCGTGGTGCTTTTCACCTTGTCCCTTGTCCAGGGGAGGGGTGGATTCTGCATTTATTTCACAACATGCTGCAATGTGGTGCTTTCACCTTGTCCCTTGTCCTGGGAGCAGGGCGGGGGTTCTGTACTTATTTCACAGCACATCCAAGAAGGGTTATCCACGGATACTGACGACGTTGTAAATCTGAGTATGAACAATGACACAGCCAATCGACTGCAATAAAAGTGGGACTTTCCACATGGTTGCAAAACATCCATTAAAATATTCACTCATTTTTATGTTCTTTGGCATGCGTGGTACTGGAATATAACCCAAAACCATTTTCATGTCTATGGTACCCTCTAATGGCATGAGGATTAGAGCACAGAGTTAATCCCAAGACATCAGTTAGGATCACAGTACAACAGGTCACCTGGCTCAGAGCCTTCCATCAGGACACAGCACTTACTTTAAAAGAGAAAGAAAATACAGCTTACAATTACTATTTTTAGAGATTGTTTTGATAAATTCTCTTAAGAGAGATATAATAAAGTTTTAGAAATTCCAAATAGCAGCTAACTATCTACCTGAGATACCTGTCAGTTTTATAGATTTTGCCTTCCACAACGTTTTATGAAGCACCTTTAAACTGGCTGTGCTCTGTGTACCTTGAAAAAATGTCTCCAAGTTTCATAAATCTAAGTGGAAACAAAATCATCAAAATTACATGACAGGTAGTTTAAACCTTTTTATTTTGTCATGCTACCCTTGTTAAATGAGTATAATTAAAATACTAGGCTATATTAAATAATGCAGTTAGCAGCAATTTGGTCTCCGAATAACATAATGAAGTTCTACAAGTGCTTTTTATTTTTGTTTGTTTGTTTTCTGAGACAGAGTCTCACTCTGTTGCCCAGGCTGGAATGCAGTGGCATGATCTCGGCTCACTGCAACCTCTGCCTCCCGGGGTTCAAGTGATTCTCCTGCCTCAGTCTCCCCAGTAGCTGGGATTACAGACGTCCGCCACCACGCCCGGCTAAATTTTGTATTTTTAGTAGAGCCGGGGTTTCACCATGTTGGCCAGGCTGGTCTGGAACTCCTGACCTCAGGTCATCTGTCCGCCTTGACCTCCCAAACTGCTGGGATAACAGGCATGAGTCACCACACCTGGCCTATGAGTGCTTTAAATAGCAAAAATGTGAGATGAAAAATGATAGTTATATCATTGCCAACAGTTAAAAGATAATGAAACCTTCCATTAATTCATATTAGGGTAACTACAAAGTTTACCTCTATTATGTGTGCCTAAGTAAGCAGCTCTCTGAAAAATTATTTAACAAATGTGCTAAATTAAAAACATGTTATATAGCAGATTGAGATAACAAAAGTATTTCCTTTAGACTATTTTTTCTTACACTGAGTGTGAAGCATGATAATTTAGGATGGGGAATTGTAATGAGGCATAAATCCTATGCAATTTGTAAACAGGACTATGATTAACGCCACTTTTTAAAATCCAACTTTTTTATTACGAACCATTTCATATGTAAAGTTAAAAGAATATTATAATGAACACCTGTATAGCTCTTACCAAGAATGAACAATTATTTATTTAGGATTTTAAACGACTTTATCCAAGTACACAAAGAACCCTAAAGAAAAAAATAGCATTTCATTTTCCATCCAGTCCTCGCTCGGCATGTTTGTTGGGTGGCTGTGACAGGCTCTGGGTGTGGAGTCAGCTGAAAGTGCAGAAGTTCCACTGGGATGTGAGGTGCTGTTGTCCATGGCCTCCAAGCCCCTGGCTCAAGTCTCAGTGTCCTCACAAACAGGTTTGTGTCCTCACCGCAACCACATGCAACCCACAGCCCAACCTCGCCCTCCCTCAACAGCCTACACCTCTCTGTCCCTCAGCACCCGCTGAAACATCCGAAAGGGGCCTGTCTGGCCCCTCTGGCCTCTCCCGACGGGCACCTTCCCTGAGAAGGGCAAGGCCTCCCACTCAGCCTCCTCACTGTGCAAGCACTGCAGGGTGGTCCAAGGATGACATGAGGGCACCCAGGTGACACGCCTGACCCAATCAGTCCTGGATAAATGGGAGCTGCTCTTCCGCAGCCGCCATCACCACCACCATCCTTTCCTCACTTTCTGGATTCAACCACCTCCCAAACGTTCTCATCCTCTTAATCCCACCTCAGACACGGAGTGAGCCCCTCCTGAAGCGCCTTCGCTCTGCCCTCTCCCCACGCGTCCTGACTGCCGCCTCTTCCATGGCTTCCTGAGCTCAGCTCCAACATTCTTTAACCTATCTTCCCAGCAATGCTATTTCCGAAGACAAACACCTCCTCATTCTAGTGCACTGCTTTTAGTGACCACCCGTGCCTTGCCACTGCTTACAAATCTACGCATCCACTCCTAAGACGGAGACAAGGCTCTGCACAGCCCGGCTTACAGCTGCTCCTCGTGGCCCAGCACAGGGCTCCGGAGAGCTGCCCGTGTGCAGCAGGAGCTACAGTGCTCCAGACAGTGATTCCCACATTCCCATAAATATCAACTTAACTGAGAATTTGTGTATTCTCATGAAAAGGCATCACTACCCATTGAGCTTGGGAGTAGATAACCCTGGGTCCAAATCCTGCTGTAACCTGCAGGCCTCAGAACTTCGTAAGAGTTGATTTAAGCTCTCCAAGCCTCAGTTTATTCACCTGTAAAATATGGAATACATCTCATATGTTGCATGGATACTGCAAAAAATGATAAGACAATGCACAAAGTGCCCCAAACACAAAGAGGGTGAGGGCGCCTTTCCTAAAGCACCCCACAGCATAATGGGGAGAGAGACTGCAAGAGATCACGCTACTGAGAGGCACTAATGCAGGGTCTGTGAGGTGCAGTCACAGGAGACCGCAGAGGGGGGCAGGGACTGCTCCCAGGAGTGGTGGCATCTGACCTGTGACTTGAAGGATATGAATTTACTAGCGGTTTCCACAGGAGAAGTGCTCCAGGAAGAGGGAGCTGTATGTTCTTGGCTCGCACATGGGTCTGGGAGCAAAGACAAATGCCTGTGAATGGAAAAGACACGCTCAGGAGAAGGGGCTGGAGAGGGAGGAGTGGGCGAGGAGCTCTTTAGGTCCCATTAGGGGAGCACCGTAAAGCAGAGTCTCCCGTCCACCAAGAGGGCATACAGAGCCAGGCTCAGGAGTCCTGGCTTCATTCTGGATGGACCCCATCCAGGTAACAGAGTTAACTGAGGCATTATTCTAAGGACAGAGTGGCAGGGGTCAAATGTAGGGGAGAGAGCTGGTATCAAAGTCTAAGTGAAGGATGATGTGGCAGCAGACATCAAGATAGAAAGGAAGAGGCAAATGCATGAAATCTTCAGAAGTCTAGAAAAGAGCATCGACTGGGCTTGGGAACCGAATGTGGAGCTCTGGATCCGAGACCTTGAAGAGCGGCTCAGGCTGACTGCCTTGCTCAGCGAGGCCGGCCCTGAACAAGAAACAGGAATTAAGAAAGTAGACAGCTTTGGGAGAAGGGGAGAAGACACAGGTGGTGAGTCTGAAGTGGCTATGGGACAGCCACTCTGCCTCTTGCGAAGGAGGAACGTCTTTCCTCATACAGATGTTCTGTTCCCATATCCTCTTTGATGCAACGCCATTTTCTAGGTTTTGTGTCCATTGAAATATCCCCCAATACCACACAGTCTTGAGGACTGCAGCTTATTTAAGTCTTCAAATCTGGTAATGAGTCCTCCAACTTTCTAAGTCAAAATCACTTTAGCTATCCTGCTCCTTTGCCTTAAAAACAAAT